GGAAGGAAGATGGGGCAATCTACTTCCGTAGTGATACTGCTTCGGAAACCCAAGGAGGGGTCGCTATGAGTCGGGTCCAACTCCACGGCACGTAACAACACAACACCTACCTTAAGAGGTTGTTGGCGTTTAAAGCCTCAGGTTTACAATTGAGGAAGTTGTGTGTTAACCGGCTTAAGTGACATAAACTACCATCCAGCAGCCGGTTTTCTCCTTCTGCAAATCTCGGTATTGACACAGACTTGGCCTTCCTCCCAGGGTTGGTGTAAACGAACCAGTGAGACATGGATGTGAATGTACTTCTGCAAACCGCTGTTGTTTGTTTGTTGAATGCCTACTGTGAGTTAAGGCACTTTGGATATACTTTGCATTTAGTCTTTAGAAAAGGACATTGAGGCAAAATAACATGGTTATTTGTGCTTAGTAAACTTAGACAATTTTCAAACCAAGATCTCTTATTTCTGCGAATGCTTTCTTCTGCATTACCCTGCCTTTGCCTAACCTGTGTTGGTCTTAGAATTATTGTACGCTCAGCATTTAGAATTGGAAGAGACTTGAAAGAAAGTGACAGACATACTGAGTTAAGAAAGAATGGAAGGAAGATCAAAGCTTGATGCAGTCATTTCCTGACCTAACCCCTGATACAATATTCATCCACTTTATTCCCTGACCCCTGCACCACCTGTACCCTTTAATGTTTGGAAGGCTGCAACTTTCTTTAGAAGTTACTGAGCCATATACTCCAAAGTAATCGAACTTCTGGGTGAGTTTTAAGATAGTTTTGAGTGGTGGCCCCCAGAAAAGGACAGAATGTGAAGGTCTTAATAAAACTAGGAGTGTGAGGAGGAAAATGAGAGCTTTTTCTTTATTCAGCCTTCTTAAAGGACTCTTTTGCATTAATCAGTCTGTGAAAAAAAGATTATTATTATTTGTAAGATAAATGTACTGATTGTCCCTGACCAGAGAGATGATTCTTGGCAAAACTGGTGTCGCAGTTACCATAATTTGTAAGGTGTAATCATCTAAGAACAGAACTCTTTAAGAGCTGACCCTTGGGACTGATCTGTACTCGAGTCATCTAATAAACCATTTTAAAAATTGCTTCTTTATGCAGGTGACATACAAATGGCTGAGCTATACACTAGGAGTTCATGTTAACCAGGCCAAACAGTAAGTCCAATTTACTACTAATTTTTGTTTTGTTTTTAACTCTACGGGTAGCCTCTAGATTATAGCAAACACCACCACCACCCACACAACACACACACAACCTGGGCAAATGGTAGAGTATACCATTTTCACTACCTTTTACTACTTTTGTTTATTTTAGGAGATAGGCTGGTACACAAACGTGTGGTGATAAATTTATTGGATTTATTTATAATCTCACCTTCTGGCTGACATTGCTTTGTTGTTTCAGGCGTATTAAATAGGCCAGACAGTTCTGTTTACATCTTAGATTTATATGAATGTTTTCTTATATCTCCATTTCCACACAAGTTCCTTAGGCCCATTTCTGAATGCTTTTGAAACCTTTCCATAATGAGGTCAGCAGGTATTTGACACAAGCTGTGTAGCAAAGTAAGATGGAAGAATTATTTATATGGAACTAAAAAAGGATGGTACAGCATATTGCCCTTCTTGAATTTTTCCATGCCACCTTTCCTTGCTGAAACTTGTAGTCCAACTTGAGATCAGAAGTGAAGAATTCAAAAACTTTTTTGAATTAACTTAAATAATTTTTGACCTGAAAAATGTGCAGATGTTGTCTGTGTTCCAGAAGAATTGATGAACAGCCTGAGGAGATACATATATGTGGTCAGATACCCACTAATTTGTTTTGTTGCTAAGGGTGGCCTGATTTTTCCTATAGGAACTTTCTTAGAGTCGTAGGAATGATTTCTAAGTCAGAAAGCCCTTGCTATCTAGGATAGGTTGATTTGGCTTTGTTTAGGTTGTTTACAGGTCTAGGGGTCTTGATTTTGACTGCGATGTTTATGCCTCTGAGATTTGAAACTCTTGGCCTAGGGATGGATTTGAACTGGTTTGACTGTCTGAGATTGCTGTTGCTAAGACAATTCTGGCCCAAACCCAAGAGGCTCAGCTAACTGTGGAAATGGACAACTATTTGAGTTACTATTCATTACGATTTTGCATGTTTAAATATGAAATGAGGTAGCTGCTATAATATAAGCTTTTTGAGGTTTAACAGTGCATGACTGAGGACTGGAGTTCCCTGAAGGTGAAATAAAGTTGCTTATAATTTTACTTGTAGCAATCTCTGATTATCTAGAATTTTTATAGCATAACACATTGTCTAGTCTCTACCTGTCTACCCAACTGCATCTCATACCACTTTCTACCTCACTTATTACACTTCAGCCATATTTACCTTTCTGTTCTTTATATGGATGCTCTGGTGGCTTAGTGCCTAAGGCATTTGACTGCTAACCAGAGGGCTGGCATTTCAAACCCATCAAGCACTCCTTGGAAGGAAGACTGGGCAATCTACGTCTGTAGAGACACTGCCTCGGAAATCCAAGGAAGGGAAGGGTCGCTGTGAGTCGGATTCGACTCGACAAGCTCATTCTGACCCTGTGATTTTTACACTGTTTCCCTTTGTCTGGAATGCTCTTCTCCCAGCTGTCTTTATCTTTTAGATTTTAGCTCAGAACTTTACACATCACTTCCTCCAACAAGTCTTTAATGCTCTATTTCAAATATTCCTACCCGTGCCTAACTCTTTGTCATCCCCCATTTTCCTTCAAGCCCTCCTTCCCTAGCCCTTGTTGTTTGCCGTCGAGTCAGCCCTGACTCATAGCGACCCCTCTCCTTGGGTTTCCGAGGCAGTATCACTACGGAAGTAGGATTGCCCAACCTTCCTTCCGAGGAGTGGCTGGTGGGTTTGAACCACCAGCCTTCT